ATGTAGTCCTCAAGGCCAATAGGTAGAATTTTTATTTCACAGAAAGCTTGCCCACATCAATTTTTGTTGATGCTTTTTATTTTTTTAATTTAGGCCAAGTATATATGGTGGAGTTGAATATTAAAGTATTTTCTTATATAGCTATAAAAAAAAGTGGGGGTCTAATAATATAAACTTTATTATTTAAAAATCTAATATACGACATTGAAACAGCTGAAATGAAAAGTACATTACAGATGGAGTGTCACTTGTCCCATTTGTAACCATTCACACAAATTCCTTTTTTAAAAGAGGAGGAGAATTATTAAAATTGCTTCTAAATTGTTCCAAGAAAAATATCACGGAAAGATAGTTTTGGCCTTGAAGACAGACAGACTGAATGCGTTTCCATGTGGCACTGATGTGTTCTTTTCTTCTGTAAAAAGGTCTATTTGGTGGCGAGAGGTGTGATGGTGCCATTTCTTTCAAACTTAAAAGACTTCGGACAATGGGACCATTTGTGTTTGTCAACTAGGCACACTGATTAGAAAATGCCAGGTTTGAAATCTAGTGCCTGTTTTCATTCTTAATTGTGGAAAAAAAAATGAGTTTTGAATATTATACTTAGAAGAATGTATGGTTAATAAGTAGGAAAAATTTTTGGTATACTGTATACATATAGAATATTTGTTTTATGTATCAGTAATTCATATCCTCTATCTAGAAAAGTAACGCTCATGATTTGACTCATAGTATTTTGCAAGCTAAAATCTTGGAAGTGTAGTGTAGTGTAGTTTATTGTGTAACATCCTTTTTACGACCATTAGGGTACGGTGTTTGAGTCTTAAACTTTTGTTGCATTTGCAAAGTATCATTAAGTAGATTTGTAGAAATTACAAAGCTATGAACGTCAATTAATAATGAAGATTTTTGAAGACTGCATCATTATAAGAGTTGTTTTTAAATTAGATGATTCAAAGTAGTATCTAAAGAAGAGATTGAGTTTAGTCTTAACATCATCCATTTATAAAAATTGTGTATGCTTCAAGTCTTTAATATATAAAAGAACAATACCCTGCTTAAAGGGAATTGTTCACGGAACCTTTACATGTGCTGTATGGGTGATTTTTTTTCTTTCCCAAGTGTTGTATTACAAAGCGACACGTGTGATCTGTAAAGAAAAATCTGTGAAACTTTTGTGTACTTGTAGCATAACTCTCTAAATAAAGGTAATGCATTTAAGGAGGTATGTTGTAATCTCAATTTAAATAAATAAAGTTCCCTCTATAAAATTTCAAGATTTGGATGAGGTGTGTGAATGAAAACTTTCTATGTACTTGTCTTGAGTTGTGTAGCTATATATTTTCTTGATTGGGAACTCAAAACATCTCACTTTTCACCAGGAATCATTCGAATTTACAAAGGAAGCAATAACAAGGGTTCATATAAAACTAAGTGAGGAATAGACAGTGGACTTCAAGTTAAGCTAGCTCTTTTAGTTGCATACAAAAAGTCTCTTGATTTGGAAAAAGTTCCAAATAGGTGCTAATTTGGAAGTCGAATAAATAGATGATACACGAGAGATTTCAAAGTGCTTGATCTCCAAACCATTTTGAAAAGAAAAGAAGAAGAAGAAAAATATTTCTCTTATTTAATATACGAGGTAGGATTCAATGTCATATACTCCAACTATATCGGGATAAGAGTGTTGAAGCCCAATCAAAGATATGGATATCGTTCCATCGAAAAAAAAAATCTCTTCTTTGAATTTTTTAAGTTACTTACTGATATAAATGCATCAGCATCTGGATTTTTCCATCAGAAAAACCCTCATCGCGACAAGTAAACCATTGCTAATGCTTACTTTCCGTCCGTGGCTAAAATCTTTCAAATATTTTTATATTTATTATGATATTAATCAATATTATCATGAAATTTAGGGTAACAAAAAATGTATTCCTTGCTGTCGTGATATATACTCTTGATAACCACTGAATGCTAAATTTAGCCTTTTCTTAGGAGAATCTGTGAAGCCAATCTCATGTTTGAGCTCAGTATTAGACATGACTGAATAGTACAATGAATAAGATTTGAATTTTTTTTTAATGCTTCAATACTGTAAATTCACCTTACTAACCAAGAAACCAATTTTACAGTGAATTACTTCACATTCATAAAATGTATCAATCGAATTACAAGATGTAATTGTTATCATTGACGTCCTTATGCACGTTTACTTTTATGTATATATATATAATTCTTTTTCTTTTTCTACAAATTAATTGAATTCAAACAATATGCAGCCGGACATGGGTCTGTTTGTCAAGCGATTACTTAAAATATTTACTTCCATAAACTTACATGTTGTAAACAGACAAAAATTTGATAGATTTCTGTGTGATTATTGGATATTATACAAAATTCTTGCCTGCTTGCAAGTTTACTGGTAACTAGTACTTCTGGCAGTTGACAGTTAATTACTCAAAATCCTACTTCTTGAGCAAAGGAAAAGCTGGTGCTACAAAATTTGCTCCCTTGACGAATCTTCCTTTCATTCTGGGCCTTTTCTCAGCATTCAATTTCCGAACCTCGTACCTTATTTTCTTTGAAAACAATCTGGTTCGGCGCTTCTCCCTGTACCTGGAAACCCTGGCTTCTCTTCCTCCATCCACCATTGCCGCTGCATGTCCACTCATCATTCCCATTCCTCCGTATACATGCATTGTTCCACAAGTGCCCTGCAAAATTTTATTGTACTTTAATTGGATAAACATAACTGGCTTTTTTGGTAGACCTTACAATGAAGCAAAAATCTTGTTCGTTGTGTCATCTAGTTATACATCATAGCGGAAAAACGAAAACAATGGCATTAGTGACTTGGCCTTACAACCTGGAACATTCAATGGAAGTCTGAAGCAAACTATGTAAGAAATAAGCTTCAATTTGTGATTGAGCATTTCCAAATGAATTTGAGTATGGATATCTAAATTTGATGCATGTTAATATAAGGAGTCTACTGTAACTAAACTTTTACTTTTAGGATATTGTTCATTTGTCTCACACACACGAAAGGGAAAAAAAATAAATATATGAAATCAATTATAAGATTAAAAGGAAGGAAACGAACCATGCATTCCGACCAGCAGTCATCGGAATCCAATTCCGGCCGTTCACCAGTTGTCCATGGAGACCTTTGATCATCCCAAGACGACAACACACCCTCGTAGTCTAGACTCAACATAACCTTCTTCTTTTTCTTGGTATCATCGTGAACTTCATTAAAATCTTCGAATTTTATCATGATTTCCTGATCACCACCAATTTGTGCTTCAGTATCTTCTGCTTCACCTGTAATTGGAGAATAATCATCATAATCAAAATTGAACTCAAAAGTTTCTCTTTCCAAGTCTATTTCTGTGCCATTTTCATGTGCCTGAGCCATGACTATTTCTGCGACTTCTTCATCTTCAACCTTAACTTTTTCACTACTGCCTAAAGAACATGAGTCATGATTTTCTTTTTCACAGCTCAAAAGTCCCAACCCTTTAATATCAAATGACTCATCTTCAAGCCCTTTTCCTAATAGATTTTCAACATTAGCAGCAAATTCCGCAAGATCCATTTCAGATGGAAGAAACCCACGTAAATGATTCATTTCTTGCCTCAAATCATTCGACATGTCTTTCGATTCAGTATTCTCAACAGCTTCTGTATTGTCGACATCATTATTCGTCACACCCTCGTTTGCAGAAGTGCATAATTCTGCAACGAAGGGGTCGAAAATCGGAACCCTATAAAGAAGTTCTTCATTTTCTTCATTTGAGTGCTCTTCGCTGCAAGTTTCAGGCACAAGATGAAGAGGTTTTCGAATTTTCTCTTCAGATTTGAGCTTGTCTGCATGCCTTCTGTGCCTTGGAGTTCGAGTCTTTCTTATGAAACCCCGGTGCCATGAGGGCACAGAAATCTGCAGAGAAGATTCCTCAGATGATTTGATTGAAGAAATCTTGAGTTGAACCCTTTCGTGGCGTCGAGCCAAAGGGTTTGCTGAATGAACAGATGCATCACAAGATTCGCACAAAAATGCATCGTCAGCTGCACAATACCATCGAGCCCTCTTTTTTATACAATTATCACAGGCTCTTGCTGTTTTTCCTCCAACAGCATTAGCCAATTTTCTATCAGAAACCATGGATAATTTTTTTTTGTAAACGATCTCGGTTCAAGTCAAAGAGAAGTTGGACACCAGAGGGCAGTAGGAAATGTTGGGTTTTTTTGCTCTTAATGTATAGAACTCAAAAAACTTAGTGCAATTATTTGTATCGGGGAGTGACCCACAAAGTGCACTTTTACAGTGCAGTTAAGAGTTCAAGGCCTTTCTTGGATACACTTTTTTCCCACTTCGGGAGTTTTCCACAAGGAATGGGGCTAATACTTTTGGGACCCACTAATGGCCCTTATCTAAATTCCTATTGGCTAGACTAAAAAATCATCCTAATCCCTGCTTCTTGAATGGCTAGATTTTTAAGTTTGGGATTTCTAGTGGGACCCGGATGAAAATTTGATCCAATCTCTCTCTCTTTCTATGTGTCCCAGCGTCAATTTCTTGCTCTATGATCTTGAACAAGACCCTTTTGTAGGATTGTCATCATACCTCTTCAAAGTTTAAAGCAATGGATTGAGGTCCCCTATTCCCCTCCTATTCTTCCAGATGATTGCTGTATATATTACTGTCGGCAGACCTGTTATATTCTCATGGAGGTGATGACAATGGAGCAATTGACTGGAAATTCCATAGTGATAAGGTTAAAGAAGATATTTTATATTTCGCAATTCATAAATACAAAGGTAATAAAAGAATTTAATTTTTATGGTCACAATGGTTATATCTCAATTAAATTCAGTTTATAGCTTCTAAATACCAAAAACGCTTCAATGCTTATTATAATCCGATGTTGATGTTCCAATGCTAGTCGATGTTTAAACACAATTAATTACAAATAATGTTGGACAATATTATATAGGAACGTACCAAACATGTCCTAGAATGCCATACGAGATAGTTAAGAAAAGAGTAACGTTATTATCCATACGAGGAATGATCACTATATATGTGATGCTTGGTAGGTGATGAGACATGAAATGATAACACTAATTAAATGTAGTATAATCTTATTGATTTATTTTTTTCATTAGAGATGATTACCAATCTATGTGGCTGGTAATGTTCTATGAAATGATAATACCGATTCAATGTATCGATATGAGACACACTTTATTGATCTTATCATATGACACATTATATGAAGATATATAACATTATTTTTAAGTATATCGATATAAAACTTACTTTAATAACATTATCTATTAACATTACTCGAAATGATAAGCCAATTAGATACGCATGACACTCACTTTATTGATTTTAAAATTTAATCTCACATCATATGATGATCATTTCTTGTGAGAATTAATAACATTACTAGAAAATATAAGGTTGAGTTCGATGTTGCCCACATGCATGCCATTAGCCATGTCCTTTTTTTTTTTTTTGTGTGTTATTTTCTAAAATTGAGAAAACCAAGCTCATGCGGTCCACGAGCTACACATTTCTGCTTTGCACTTTGACAATTTGGTTCAGATTTTTAAATTCTTATTAAAGTAAAATTAATTAATGTAGAAAAATGGTGCCACATGGTGGATGTTTTGATATTTCTCAATTGTGTACTTTAAAATCTAGTTGTTGATGTCAGATTGAGGCAATTGGGCATGTAGAACTCTTCAATTTATAATCTTAAAAAATTCAAATGCACGCTCTACACAAATTGGCTTTGTGGTGGTTCATTCAAATTTTATACTCGAGAATACAATTTAGCAAAGTTTAATCGAGTATATAGCTTTTCTTAAATAGAAATTGTGTCGCCTGTACTAATCATTCTTGAGTTATATGCAATAAGAGACTTTCGAGTAGGGGTATCAATTTGGTTCGTCAGCGACAGCCCAATACTCAACCCGAGAAAAGCCCGAGTTGGCCAGGCTCACGAGCTTGCTCGGCTCGATAAGGTCTTAAACAAAAGTTCGGGTCGATCCTAGATTTTTTTTGCCTAACAAAAGCTCGGTTTGGGTAAAAAAAAAAAAAATTCGAACCATTTTTACTCGAGTCAAGTCCGAGTTTCGAGTTTCAATTTGTGAGCCGACTCGATTAGTTAACATCCCTAGTTTAGAGTAGCTTTCAAAATAAAATGAAAAACTATCAATAAGGCTCGTACATTTTTATCCATGGTCAAGTCATTCTATAATTGCGTGTTAGACAAACTTTGGTAATAAAAAGATTAGGTGGTGTTCTCTTCGTGTTTCTGTTTTCTGTTTTGTGTTTTGAATTCATTTTGAGTTTTGTGTTTTGAGTGTCCATTTTGAGATTGTTGAAAATGCTTTCTTTTTGTCATTTTGAAAAATTGTTTTCCAAAATTAAAAACACCAAAACACGTTCTCCCATCCCATCTATCTCTCTCCCCTCCCCTCTTTCT